GGCGATCCTTCCGCCTCAGCCTTCCAAGTAGCTGGAACTACAGGCGCACGCTACCACGCCCGGCTAATTTTTGATCTATTGTAGAGATGGGGTCTCACCAAGTTGCCCAGGTAGGCCTCGAACCTGCGGGCTCAGGCAATCCACTCACCTTGGCCTCCCAAAGTCCTGGGATTACAGGCTGAGCCACTGAGCCCGGCTCCACATCAGCTTTCTAAAAAAAATAATGTGTTACAAAGCTTGAGAGTTTCAGGTGGGGACGTAATAAAGTCCTCAACTCTTACACTTTTATTTTATAAAATTTTGGTTCAGCTGGTGTTTATTTTGATATAAGGAATGGGTTGTCCCCTCAATGGTTAGCTTGTTGTCCCAACACCATTTTCTTTTTCTTTTTATGAGTTGGAGTCTCACTCTGCTGACCAGTCTGGAGTGCAGTGGCATGTTCATGGCCACCGCAGCCTTGACCTGCTGGGCTCAGGCGTTCCTCCCACCTCAGCCTCCCAAGTAGCTGGAACTACGGGAGTGCACCACCATGCCCAATTAGTTTTTTTATTTATTGTAGGAATGCCAAGTTGCCCATGCTCGTCTCAAGCCCCTGGACTCAGGCAATTCTCTCGCCTCCGCCTCCCAAAGTGCTGGGATTACAGGTGTGAACCACTGCACCCGGCTAATTTTCTTTTCTTTGAGTGGGGGTCTCACTCTGTGGTCCAGGCTAGAGTGCGTGGCACATTCACAGTTCACCACAGCCTCAACCTCCTGGACTCAGGCAAGACTCCCAGCTCAACCTCCCAAGTAGCTGGCACTACAGGTGCACACTACCACACCTGGCTAATTCTTTTGGTTTTTTTGTAGAAACAGGATCTTGCTGTATTGTCCAGGTTTGGTCTCGAACCCCCGGGCTCAAGCAATCCTCCTGCTTCAGCTTTCCAAAGTGCAGGGGTTACAGGCATGAGCCACTGTGCCCGGCCCCAACCCCATTTTCTGAACAATTCATCTTTTCTGTGCATTTTTGAAACCACACCTGTGAACTGTGTTTGATATTGATGCAGCTATTATGTTCCCACACTTAATATTCTCCTTTTCTTCAGTCTATACCAAACTGTTTTAACTATTGCAGATTCATAATATATTTTATTTATTTATCAAAGCCAATCCCCTTTTGTTATTTACTAGCTCTGTTTTCTGGTTGATTATTTATTTAAGATTTCCCCCTCCCTGTTCTCACACATTGACCGTTTTTCGAAGCAGTACTCATAGAAAATGTTTTAGTTACGCACACACAAAATCTTGACAAAGCAGAGGCAGGAAATTTTTGCTTCAGAATTTTTTTGATCTTGAACATTCTTTACGTGCTCACACTTCTTATCTAAGAGTAAAAGTCAGAGGAGAAACACCAAGAACTGTCCTCCAGCACAGAAGTGGTCTATAATCATCAACATTGGCTACACGTGTGCTGTCATTCCACACATTCCCACGGAGGCTGGAGCCCACAGCTTTGTTTTACTTGAG